TTGGATTTTTGGCTTGATGTAACTACAAAAACGTGTACTCCAAAGCACCCTTAATCTTAGACTATTCTCGTATATATGTACGCAACACCGCTCACCATTTTACACCATGAGAGTTACAAACATGGCTGACCTCCAAAAATCATTTCCCTGATCTTGAGAATAAAACTCAAACTATAAAGAAACCTATGCTTAAAAAAGCATGAGTTTTCTCTTACAGCTGTTGGAGGCCAGGTTTCTTATATGAAACGTTTGGCGACGACCAAACAAAGGACTCCAAACTGAATTAATTATTTTTATCTAGGGTAAGATCACAACCGCCACTTTATAATTTGTCGGGATCATGTCGTACCCCACACAACCTGTACAGCGGCGTTCTGGTGGCGCTGGGGGCTCTTTGCAGACAGTTCCTAGTAGACGGCCATCAGTTCGCAAAAGCCATAGTGCCCTCGACCGGGCAAAGGATACGCTAGGTGTAGACGTCGTAAACGTACAGAACCCTCGCATCCCAATGGGGCGGAGACGAGCACGCGCAAGTGGAAGATTTGGCCCTGGCATTACTTCGACAAGGAGTACCTGACGCACAAGTTCGCGCTATCTTTGGTATAGGAGGCTCCAAGATACTGAGATTGAAAGACATGATAAGAAACAGAATCGACAGCTTTCATACTCGACGAGTTCCAGCGCGTCCCAAGCATGCATTCTCCAGTGATGACATCGACTAAACAATGGACAAAAACGGTGCAGACTTTTCCGAAATTCCGGTTTTGTTTTTGAAAGCGACCTACGGTCTCAGTGCCAAATACCGCACGGCTCATGTTGCGCGTTATTTTGTGCACGAGCACTCTAACGTCAAGCAGTTGAGCAAAATATTAGCTGTCAGCTACAAGCGTGTTTTATGGTAGCTGAGTACAACAGTCATCTCGCTTTGGTCGAAATGGAGCTACGTACAGTTACTATGCCAAGGCTGAAATAAATTCCACCTAAGAATTGATGTGATTTGCAAATATTGTGCACAACCACTTTACGGGTGGAAGACTACCAAGTTTGTGGAAAGTGCATTCGGGGCACAGCTTACTATTGGATGTAATGGACGATAGCATTAGTGATTGGGAAGTTTCTAGAGATACTGAAGTCAAAGACCACTGTGACTACACAACGCGTACAATGACCACCGATGATGGAGACTATTAGAAAGCGTGGAATAGAATGTAGTCTGCACTTGTTACAGGAAGTAAAAATCAGGAGGAAGTAAATTGAGGACGGTGAGCTTGTTATTTTCTCTTTATTTTGTACGAAACATTTCAAAGAAAATTGTGCAGCTGGGCCAATCAAGCTATTCTAATTCATAGAGGGAAGGCGATGGTAAAAACGAGTGCAACGCTTTTATTGGTTTGGAGCTTGCGATGAGAGCCTCCAAGCTGAACGACATTTCGGAGAACTGGAGCGAGAAGTTGTTCCTTGGACAAGCCGATTTCAGTCCTGCCATGGGTCGTAGTCGGTTTCAAAAACCCGAGGGAAAGTAGCGATTTGAGTTCCTAGTGTTACAACCCCGAAGATAAGGACGAAGATCCAGTTTGGCCTAGCCGATACTTCCTTTCAGCGTTACAAATGCTATTTAGCACTATGGACGTGTCACCCTTGTATGAAACTTCGCTTGGACAACAGCACGCACCAGAACAAGTCGTTCATATCCTCGAAGTCTGATAAGTATGCGGTCAGGTTTAACGCGCACGTTGGCTAGTATCCATTGTACATCCACACTTTGTGGGATAACAGTTCCAGGTTAGTCTCTAGACTATCGCCTGCCGAACGGTGCATGCAGACACTTCCTCATTTGCGACGCCACTCCATGCACTTTTGCGTAGATCACGAATTTGGTTTTGAAATAAACATCTGCGGTTTGGGCAGCTATGGTTGGGCAACAAACCAGTACGATCCGCTTACCACCTGTTGCAGACTAGTAGTCTGCTCTAACTTCTACACTCGCCATGTTCTTGATAAAGCTCTTTTATCTTTTTCCGACAACAAAGTGCAAATGCTCGGTACCGCGCGGCTGAACCTAATTTACGATTGGGATAGATTGACTGTTGGGGAAGCCGTGCAACTACCGGAGGAGAGTGATCGTGGATGTTGGGAGCTTGTTGCAGCAGTTGAGCCTGTACCGGAATGGAAGCAACATTAAACAGATCATGAAAAAGAGAAACGACCCCCCCCCCCCCCCCACAAAAAGAAAGTTCAAAGTCCCACTGCAGTTTTTGCCGTCCCTTGGTTTCATAATTTCAAAGATAAAATAGCGGGCATATTCTACACGAACGATTTGGCAGCAACACCATCGTCCCTTGTTCTTGGAGCTGACAGTAATGAAGCGGTTAAACGTGCCGATGGCCTACATC